GGTGGCGGCAGCTGCGGCCGCCGCCGCCGCCACCGCGGCCGCCGCCGCCGCCGCCGCCGCCACGGAGCCGGGCGCCTGCTGGAAGTCCCCGCTCTCCTCCAACAGGCTCAGGTTGCTCATGAAGTCGGCGCTGACAGCGGACGCCGAGGCCGAGGGCAGGCCCGCGGCGGCGTCGGGGTTCGCGGCCGCGCCGCCCGACGGCGCCGGGCTGGAGGTGGCCGAGTTGGACTGGCTAAACTCCGGCCTGGGTAGCGGCCAGGTGCACGAGCGCGGCCGGGGCAGCGGCTCGAAGTCCGGGTCGATCTCCACCACCTGGGGCGCTTCGGCCATGGTGACCCCTGCCCCTCCCCCAGCCGCGGGACTGCCAAGAAGTGAGAGAGCGCAGCACCGGGGGCCGAGGGGAGAGAGCGAGAAGAGCCGGTCCGAGATTTGCCGGGGCCGGGCGCGGGGGGCGGGGGGGGTTGATGTCGGTGCCACGAGCGGACGGAAACCGGGAGGAAGGCGCGGCGGCAGAGTGGAAGCGCGAGCCCAGAACTTAACTTCACAGGTCCATCAACATCTAGGCTCCTCCGGGTCCGCTGCACGGACGGGACGGCAGGCCAGAGTCACCGGGCCCCGGCAGCGCCGGCGTCGCGCTCCTGCTGACACGGCCCGCGGAACGAAGGACGGACGGACGCCGCGGACCGTTCACTCTCCCGGGCTCCGCGACCGTGGCGCTGCTGCCTGTTGAATGTGGCGGCGACAGCGGCAGCTGCAGCAACTACGCTGCCGCCCGACTTACTGGATCTGCCGCCGTCCCCCGCCCGCGGCGGCGCGCGCGCCGGCCCGCCCCTGACTGACAGCCCGAGGGACCAATGAGCGCGCGGCGGCTCCGCCCAGGCAGCCAGTGGACGCCGGCCTGGGCGGGGCCCGGTTTTCCACCGGGAGGCCGCAGTGGGTTGGTGGGGGGTTAGTGGGGTGTTTTTCTCTCCCACGCACGCACGCACACACACTCTCGCTCTCTCACTCTTTTTTTTAAGCTCTCTGTTATTATTTTCTGGTAATTCTCGAGTGTTTCTGTGAGTCTCTCGCCCTCTCAGTGTTTTGATTGCTAAGAGGAAAACCAACGTGGAGGCGACGGCGACACTTTGTTTACTACTGAGGAGCAGAGAGTACTCGGGAAGCCCGGGTGGAACGAGTCGCTCGCTTCGCCTCGACCTCCGCTCGGGGCCCAAAGCCGGGCCGGGCGGGAGCCGGGGACGCTCAGCGCTCCGGGGGCGCTGGGTGGGTGGGCGGGCGGGCGGTGGCGGCCTCGCTGCATTCTGCTCAATCGCCCCCTCTCGACTCTGCCCACGATTTCTTTGCAGAGAAACGTGGGGAAGTCGGTGGGTTTTGTTTTTGTTTTGTTTTGTTTTGTTTTCCCTGCGACGTGTCGAGTCCTCCGGCCCCGGCGCGAGCCGCACACGCCCCCCGGGGCAGGGCTTCTGACGGTCAAGTCCGCGCGGACGACGCAGTCGCTGCAGCTTCCGCGCCGGGAACCCACCTGTCCGCACCCGCGGGCTGAGCCTCTGCGGTTGGATGTAGACGGGGGCCAGTTGTCTAGCCCAGCAGCCACCAGCCGGGTTCACTACATTCTTGACTTAACTAGGAATGAGGGAAGGGGGCTCGGCGTGGGCCGAAGATGGTCTTACCTCACACGCACCCTCGGGCCTAAAGGCATCCTCATCCTCGTGCCCTCTTCCCTTGGGCGGGAATCTTAGACTCTCCACTGAGTCAGTCCGGGGCGACGGGGAAGGGGTCAGAGGAGAGCATTTAGTGAGAGTCTTGTCACTTTATTACTTACCCTAATTAAGTTTAACTGTTTGCTTGCCATTTCTTTGCTATTTAGAGTGGAAGTGCTGAGGTGTTGAGAAGTGAAAATGGAAGAAGGGCGAGGACCAAAGCCTTGGGGTGCAGCCCTGCCCCACTCCCAGATGTTCCTTTAGGCCACTTGCCACGTGCGTCCATCAACCCACCCCACCTTTCCCCATCTGGGCTCCAGGTCCAGGACGTCCTGCCGAGATCAGTGGGGCAAAAGGTAGGAAGACAATGGCCCTTGTGTCTCAGGGAGCAGAAGAAACAGTTGTCAAGTTTTGTTTTCTTTTGCCTTTTTTTTTAGGAGGAATATGGAAGGCATTTCCTTTCAGAGGGATGGGATCACTTAAGATGGAAGATTGACCGTAGGGTTTTAAATATCTTGTCCAAAATGACAGCTCCCAATTCCAAAAAAAAAAAAAATCCCTGTTTCTGACAGGTGGTTCTTCAGTTGAAAAAGTGGCATCTAAAGAAAATGAGGCCTCGTTTACAAAAGTTTTAAAAGACTGAAAGATTTATTCCTCCTTGACATTCTCACTTGTCCAAACTCCTATTTCTTCATAATCCGCTTATCACAACAGCTTCCCAGTGATAAGGGGGCTGGGTGGAGGTTGTGAGCCTGATAGATGGAAGCTAGGGTTGATTCCCACCCTCATTTTGCTGTCTCTGCGTTTACTATCAAATTTGGACTGTTCGGGCCTCGTCTGCCCGCCACTAGGGGACCTCAGTAACCCAGACGAGCTGAAAGGAAGGCCGTAATGTAGAACAACTACTGCTTCCCTCAACCTTTGCCACTGCACTCTGCAGGGGCAGCCCCCATTCGGACGGCCGCACCCTGCGAATAGGCGGTGCCCTAGTGGGTCATTCTTGGCGAAGGAAGCCAGCTGCAAATTTGGCCTTGCCTTCATTTCAATTCCGGTTTTTCAGGGCCTTAGTTGGAGGAAAGTATTTGGTTAAGAGGGTTTTCTTACAAACTTTCTCCCCAGATCCTTGACATCTTCTGAGCTATCCTGCCTAATTGTTTCTGTAAGTGACATACTTGCTTTTGTTTGGTCTTTTTTAAAAATTTGACTTGAAGCAGGCCCAGAGTACCTACAAGCACCAATGTCCCTGACACGTGGTTCCAAAAAATTAAAAATATATATTTAAAGGTTCTTATAGCTGCCTAAAATACCGTGGTATGTATCAATCTACTTATACAAGCTGGTGGACATTTGGCTTGTTTCTACTCTTTAGCGGTCACAAACCCTTCTTCTGTAGTGAATAACCTTATGTAACTCATTTTGCATATGTGCAAGTATGTCTATAGGAGGAATTTCCAGAAAAGAGATCACTGGGTCAGCAGTTCAATGCATCTGTAATTTTGAGACACTGCCGAATTGCCCTCCCTAAGGGTTGTATCAAGCTGAACTTTCTTTTCAGCTAGACCTAGAGAATGATAAAGTTGAAAGTAAACCTGGAGATCATCCTGGTGGTCCCTTTAATTTATAGGTAAGGATAACGAGGCACAGAGAAGCTAACCGATTTGCCCAAGTTCACACAAATAACAGTGGTGCTGTTAGAACTAGAGCTTCAATTTCTTGCTTTCCCATCCATAATCTTCTCAACACACAGATAGAAAATTATAAATACCCTGTAATCCCAATATGCGATAACCACGATAAAGCTGTGGTGTATCTCTCTCCAGCCAATCCCACAGATTTTAGTAATTTTACTTAGATTAACTCCACTGAGCTGGAAGTTTTGATTTAAAAGATTTTTTAAAAGCAGACACACACAAAAATGATAGTGATAGTAAGATAATAAAAAGGATTGCAAAAGAAGTGGTTTGGGTTTTTTTTAGTCAAAAAATGTAAACGTTTTCTTTGAAGGATGGCAAAGGATTTAGGTTGGCATTAGTTCTGCTTAAGAGAACAAGGTTTATTTCTTTTCTCCTTCAGTATTTTTTTTTTGTGGTAGCTGTTTGCTTAGAAGGGTTTTTCTAATGATTCTCACTGATTAGTAAGTAAGTGTGAATCATTATCATCGGTTCATGTGGCCAAATTGGGAAGAAAAATGTTTCATGTCAGGTAAGCACAATTAAAATGAAAAAGGAAGTTTATCCTCACAAAGCCCATCTCACAAACCAATGTGGTATTCTTTTCTCTGCCTCTTTTCAGGGTAATTATTACATCATCCTTGACAGGAAGACTGAGGGATGGTTCCCTTTGATCAATTCCCAGGTAGAAATTTCTATATTTACCCCTCACCACCAACACACTGATCTCTGGTTTAAATTCTTTCAAAAAATAGGTAATTTAAGTCCAAGTTAATGAGTAAAAAGCCTGGATGCTTATTCTTCAGTCACAGCACTTAACTTCATACTTCACCTTCCCTTCCCCAGAACTGCCCATTTCCAATATTTTGTCTAAATCATTAGAAGGTATTGCTATCAACTTAAAACAGGCTTTCTTCCATTTGCCCATAGAAAATAATGATATGAAACGACACAGCTTCAGCTTCTTAAACCAGTGTCCTGAAACCTGGCCTATTAAGTGGTAGTTATAGCAATATCAGAAGTAGCCATTTATTTTTCTCGAGGGGTAATTTCCTTCGGATTTTGTCGTTCATTCAGCAAATACTTGTAGAGCACCTCCTATGTACAGGCCAGGTGCCATGCATCACACAGTACATTGGTTTTTCTTTTTTTTTTTTTTTCAGAGTACACTGTTTTGATGGCAAATTCCTTGAGGTCATAAATAGTTTATTTTCCTTGATATGATATTTGATGTCAGAATTAAGACTGTGTCACTCTTTAAATAATCAGGAATGCATATTGACAATATTTATTTGAAGGAATTACACACAAAAAAGTATTTGATAGATACAAGGAATGCTAAGTCAGAAAAGAATTGATGTATTATCATAGTCACCATTTTGAAGAAAAATAATAAGATGAGGTAGAAAAGCTGAATAAATGAACATCCGCAGGTGTTGGGAGTATGAGTTCTGGCCACCAGGCTTTGGGATTGGGAGGATCTTGCTCCAAATGGACAAAAGACACGGGATATGTCAGATTATTTGTCTGTCACAAATAAAGATGATGCTTACTAATCTGTAACTGGAGAGAAGCATTGGGCAAATCATAAACCAGAGATCCAACATTTTCTATTGTGCTATGAAGATGTGTGTCAGCTTCAATAAACTCTATTCCTTTGCTTTAAGTGTTAGTGAGAGACTACCTGTGGGTCCCTACAACAATACTAAAAATGTATTTGGAGATAATCTAAATGACCAACAATAGAGAATGGTTAAATGCCTGTAAGGTAGAATCATATATAGTCATTTAAAATAAAGTGGACCAAGCATACATAATGGCATTGTGACAATGCTGGTGATACAATATTTAAAAGGTTGGAGGTACCACTGTTGGCTAAAAAATTTTGGCAGTGGTTATATCTGGGTGGTGGATTTATAGGTGGTCGTTACAGGTCTCACACAAACCCCTCATTTTACAG